ATAATTTTTTATAACATGTTGTTTACTTATCGTCTGTTTACATTTCCTATGGTTTTATGATAAAACATCCTGTATTAGATATTCAATTAGATGTTCCAATAGAAATGACCGCCTTAAACAATTAAAATAGTATTTCATTTCGTAAAATGGCAAAACATACCTCAAAGTTCTTTTGCTCGAGCAATTCATTTCGTAATTATTATATGTTTGAAATCAAATTGCAGAGGGCGACACCGTCACTAATGTATTTAAAACTTTCTTTGTGGCTTTTTTTTAACTTTTTATGATGTGTATATATTTTTTAACAAACTTTTAAATTGACATTCGTTGTCATTATAAAATACATTTTGTGAACGTCATGTGTCACGGACGGTTCATTTCTTCAAACTTGTGTTTGTAGCAGGTTTTTTTTTCGTTAATAAGGCTGAATTGTAATGGAAATATATGTGAGGCTGATTTTCAACATAACACGTTGAAATGATATATATACATATTAGATAAATAATTATAATACTTGCATTCGAATGGTCTTAATTTGAAAGGTATATATGTACGACGTGACGTCATAGTTCCTAATAGAAATAACCGTAGTTTTTTATTAAAGCCAGAGATATGTGAAGGTGAGAAACATTATTGTATATTCTAATTAAACAGTAAAAAAATAATAATTTCGAGTTTTTGATTTAGTAAGTTGTGATACAAAATGAAAACATTGAATATATTTCCAGTCACGACATGCCGATGGTTCACCCCTAAGCTTGAAAATTTAACATGCACAAGTTAATGAAGTACCATATCATGCACAATTTTATAACTGGTCATTTGAATTGATACTGGTAATTAAGTGCATATTGTAACATTTACCAATGATAAAACTGAACATATTCATTTTGCTGGAGAACTTTGAACGTTATTGAAACTGTACTATATTATCTTGAGATGTTTTAGGGTCGACACGTGCTACTATAATACTCCTCCACCTTGCGACTAAATTCGTCGATTTATTATAAAATAAAAAAAAAATCGGAAATTAAAATATCGAAGTCTATAATTATCGGGTTATAATCGACTTTTCGGACCAGTTCCAGACAGACACGTTTGATTTCCACAAAATGCCTGTCTTGTTGTATTTGGTTGTTGAGGTTAAACAAAGACAATATGATTGAGCTTACTAACGAACTACTATGACCTTAACCCCGATTATTTAGAATTATGCTTTTCATGTTTTATAATAATTTATTTACAACAACTTTAAAACACGTCATGCACGAGGGAAGCCATGATAAATTAATCCAACTATCATGAAAGAGAGAAAACATTTGAGCTGAAACATTTATTTAGTAGAACGAATCCCATTTCATCCCCTCAATTTTATAATATAAAAACATATCTAAGGACATATAAGGAGTTCGTATATTGTACTATCTCATTTTTATATAGTAATTAATGAAATAATTATTGGAGTTCGTATATTGTACTATCTCATTTTTATATAGTAATTAATGAAATAATTATTGGAGTTCGTATATTGTACTATCTCATTTTTTATATAGTAATTAATGAAATAATTATTGGAGTTCGTATATTATTATACTGTCTCATTTTGTATATAGTTTATAGTTCTCTACTTAGGTAAAGCCTATTATATACATGTGAAAATTTTTCTTGTGATAGAACAATTAATTGTATTTTCTTCTCAAAATCCTCCTGTATCTTATCTAATGCACAATTTCTGATTAACTGTGCCATTACGATAAAATATTTCGAAAACGAAACATGCATACACCGAGTGAATAGTGGCGTTATCACAGTTCAATGTGCGTTTACTTCAAAACCTGATTAGATAAGGTTTACGGTTGTGTTAGCAGAGACCCTCGAAACATTTGCCGTCAAGTTAGTGTCTTTATTGAAACAGTACTGCTTTAAATACAGGATTTCAAGAAAAATACAAACACCGAAATCTATAAGTCCACTTGTCTTAGGCCTAACATTAGTTACGCACGGCCTATATTCGATAAAAAAATAAATTAACACTGTAACTTGTGTACGTTTTTGTTGTAATTTAGTCGGTGTTAAACTTTATCCTACTCTGTGCTATCAGTAAATAAACATATAACGTTATACCTTGTTGAAAACGTTGATAAGCTTTTACTATGTTGGACAAAATGTCTACTAAATTATAGTTACATCCGTTGAAATGAAGTGCGCGCGCATTTTCAGAACAGGCAAAAACTGAGTATTATTATAGATTGTTCGTCAAATTTCTGTGCGTTATACTTATTATGGAGTTAAATGCGTTAACGTTAGGACCGGCTTATGATAGTAAAGGTTGAAAGGATTGAATTATTTCTAAAGTGAAACAGACGACTTGCTGAGTGTTTTATATTGAATACATGTTACATCAAAACTGGGTCTCGTCTACTTCTGTTATCTTGGATGTTTGTTACTCAAATATAGACAATTATAATGGTTTGCTTCTTACATCACGCATGGGGCGTTAATTGACGAAATTCTATGCGAGTACTGTTTCTGACGTATTTTTGTTTAAGAAACAGAGTGGAAAAAATGTAACTGCTTTGCTATTTTAAAACAATTTCTCGTAGTTTTAACAAGTTACAAGTAAAATTGTTATTAATTAGTCGGAAAAAATTCTTATGGTCAATATTTGTATACTTGTAGTCTACTCTGCTATGCTGTATGTGAATCCCAGATTTAGTTTTGGTACAAAATATGGGGAGGGGGTGGAATAAAAATTTGGGAGCCTAGCGCTAGCACACAGCGATTATAAAATGCATTTTTTATAACAAAGTGCACGAGAACCCGCATCGTGTCGGTTTCTCAGGATAACAGAATAGTAGGTAAGAGTGTTTTTAACAACGATACGCCATAACATACTTCGTGTCGGTTTCTCTGGATTACAGAATAGTAGGTAAGAGTGTTTTTAACACGGATACGCCATAAGATACTTCATGCCGGTTTCTCAGGATTACAGAATATTAGGTAAGAGTGTTTTTAACACGGATACGCCATAAGATACTTCATGCCGGTTTCTCAGGATAACAGAATATTAGGTAAGAGTGTTTTTAACACGGATACACCATAACATACTTCGTGCCGGTTTCACAGGATTACAGAATATTATGTAAGAGTGTTTTTAACACGGATACGCCATAAGATACTTCATTTTACAATATTAAATAAGAAATTGTTCTTGATAAATTATAAACATGAATAAAAAAATGCCTGTTGCACCGTTTACTCAGTAATGAAAATAGATTGCTTAAGGAAAGGATTTATATCCTTCAGACTGAGATAATCGATTTCACAACGCAATCATAGTCTCAGATTCTACGTAAACTAATCTTTGCCAGCCATATTTCACTCAGAATTAATGATCTTAAAATGTCTATGAAAGTTATGTTAAGAAAGGCCTTTGTCAGATGGACAGATAAAAAAAAGTCACCTTAACTAATGTGAAACTAAAGCTTTCCGTCTTACTGTTGCCGATTAATACGAAACCTGTAGAGGTTTAAAATAATTTATCCTTATTTAGAAGACCGTACATGTTGTAACACTAGAAGCCTTTCTTGTTTTCCTAAATAATATCCGACTTCATCATTTACTTCCGCTTTTAACAGACTTTCAGATCAACACTGATTGTTAACAATAAATAACGTATTGTTTCTGAATATCCGACTTTATCATTTACTTCCGCTTTTAACAGACTTTCAGATCAACACTGATTGTTAACAATAAATAACGTATTGTTTCTGAATATCCGACTTTATCATTTACTTCCGCTTTTAACAGACTTTCAGATCAACACTGATTGTTAACAATAAATAACGTATTGTTTCTGTTGCTTTAACAAATATTCGCCGGAAAGACAACTGAAAATCAGTTTACAATACTTTGTCTGTATACTTTAACACTAGTTGTCTTCAAAATTGTTATAAGCTATATTTTTAATGTTTTAATTTAGATATAAGCTAGAGGGCGCATTACATTAAGATCACGTTAGTCATAAAACATTCAGATATTTAACGAACGAGAGGCTTCGTAACGTATCTAGACTAAGGATTAGACTATAAATATATGTGAGCCAGTCAGCTGACCAGGTAAACTTACAACGAAACGTGAAGCATCAAGAATACAGTGTTATTTTCTAGTTGATAGAGTGAATCTATGTGTTAGAGATCACGGATATAGTTCCTTTGTACAAGTAAGCTAGTTTGTAAGTTAGTTTAACACGGATAACGTGACTCCAAACGTAGGCCTTGCAACAAGTTACAAAGTGTATGAACCTGCAAAGAAACGTTAAGGAAGAAACATAACTGATTACTTGTTCTTTACCTGGATTGGACGTTGTCAAAGTTTCAATAAAACTTTAGTATGAACTCTACTCATGCTAGCCATACTCTACACATCTGTTTGATACCTTAGTAACTCTGAAGTTAAAATTACAACCTACAGTAAACACTATTAGCGCAATACTTTTATATATTGAAGGTTTGTGAAATGCCTTTTCTTTCCTTAACCAATAGCAGCAATGAGTATAGCAGTTGCTATTTGCGTGTTCGTGTCGTATTTCAACTGAAAGGAAAGTAAAATCAATATATTTTAAAGCTCTACGTCGGTGGTTTTCAAACTTTCCAGACTCATATACCACTTATTCTGTAAAACTTTTTTGAATTACAAACCCAGACTTCATCTTAAAAAACAAACAAAAAACAACAACTAATAACAAGATTAGTTTTAATAATTACCAAGGTCAGCATACTGAAGAATATGGTACGAGTTTTGTCAACTTGAAGGGAAGAAAACATTGGCGGAGGGTGGTTATAGAAGTGAGGAGAGTGGTATGTATATGTATGCAGGAAGTTCAAATTTGAGAATCACCGCTTTTCGTTGTAATTAAGTTGGATAAAGAAATCGAAACCAGAGTTAGTGAATGAACAAAGACTAGTGTTAACTAGTTGTTTTTTTTTAATCTTTTTTAGAGAGACGACCATCATCACAAAGCTCACAATCATGAAAAACATGACAAGTTTCTGTACCGTAAACACCTATTCCTAGAGAAGGCAGAGAAGAAACATCGTGCCCACAAGATTCATGGCCCCCACCATCACAGTCACGTGAGTATTTATCATATCATACTTAGTTAAGTCAGATTCGTGGGACTTATTAAACCATTGTTGTAGATACTCGAAACATTTCCATACACAACTCGGATGAAACACCATGATAAATGATTCTGTTCTTATAATACACCCCATTATAAGTAGTATTCCCATCTACCCTCTGATTTACTTAATCTAACTTATGATAAGTACTCATAGAACAACCACTTCTTCCCTAACAACTCGAAGTTCTTCAGGATTCATGTAATTATTTTAAGATAAGACACCATATTGTTGAACTGCTACCAACAATAATTAGAAAAAATTCATATAATTATTTTAAGATAAGACACCATATTGTTGAACAATAATTAGAACTAGAACGTATTGAAGTTGCATCACCTGTTCAGCCGTTGCAGAAAATAATCGGTATATTCTCACTTGCCTACCCTTGATTAACATACCATACACATTTATTGATTGTGAAGGTTTTGTTATATTTTCAACCTGTTTTGTTACTTGCTACTACAATAAACCTTCAGTTGTACCAATCATAATCAAAACATACACACACACACACAACAACAACAACAACAACATTACAGTTTATACAACTGAGCAGTTGGAAATGTCATGACATTTTGTGTAGACAGCAGTTTATACAACTGAGCAGTTCCTCATATTGGCAATGATTGGTTTGTTTGTTGGTTTGAAGTTAAGCACAAAGCTACAGAATGGGCTATCTTTGCCGTGCCCACCGCGAAACCCGGTTTCTAGCGTTGTAAGTCCGCAGACATACCACTGTGCCACTGAGGGCAGGTAATGATTGGTAGAATTAAATGTTTGTGTGTTTGTCCTGATAGTAACTAGTACAACTGTATGTATGTGTGAATGTATGTGCGCGCACGTATGTATTGACTATGATTGGCACAGCTTAATGTTATTGTTGTTGTTGTGTGTGTTTGTCTTGATAGTAACTAGTACAACTGTATGTATGTGCGCGCACGTATGTATTGACTATGATTGGCACAGCTTGTCTACACAAACGGTCATGGCATTTCCAACTGCTCAGTTGTATAAACTGCTGTCTACACAAACGGTCATGGCATTTCCAACTGCTCAGTTGTATAAACTGCTGTCTACACAAACGGTCAT